CAGATTGTAGAGAAAATCAAAATTATATCTTACTAACTTACTATTCGTGTTCTGAAATTAGTACTATCATAATAAGGGATTACCACACTGCCATCTCCAGTTTGCCAGGCAACACCGCCAGAAATTATTACATATATTACTAATGAGAATGAGGAGACAGTGCCTCAAAGAAAAGCAGGAAAATTGAGTTGAGGTGAAATCTGGACTATGTCCAATGTATACAGCTGTTCCTACAGTCCATGAATACAATGACAGATGTGGTAAAAAAAAAAAAAAGAGGATCTCATTATAACTGGGTTACTGACCCCACCTCAACCAAACACAACATCTCAATCTTCTAGCGATTATCAGCTGTGGCAACAAAACACTAATATACTAACTAATACATTAGCATCCAAACGTTTTTCTCCAGACTCAATTGCAGACATCTGCTTAAGTCATCTTATCATACAGCTGGAGTATAAATAACAAAACATGACAAATAATGAAAATGAAGTATTTGTGCAACACAGAACAAGTCCATTAACAAAGACAGATTCCAGAAAATTGTGTTAACAGATGATCTAAGTGCAATACGGCGACACCTTCTACTGTCATCTGCACACGTTACACTGGCGGTGTACTTCCAATGCAACAACGCAACATACAGGCCCATATTCTTACAAGTATGGGCTGGTATGCATCATTTTTACATTTTTAAAGCAGCCTATTAAAACTATTTGTTTCAATCAACCATTCAAGGGCCACTGGTTCTAAGTATTGCAAGTAGAAACACAGTGGACCAATTTAACCCTCCTACTCTGAATATCCCTCCCACACAAAAGGATATGTCCGAAACATGAAGCTCTGCCCACATTCCCATCTTCAAGTCTGGGCAATGACAGGGGCAGTTAAAACGCATATTGTAATATCGTAAGTATCCAAGGGAGAGAGAGAGAGAGAGAGAGAGAGAGAGAGAGAGAGAGAGAGAGAACAAGACAACAGATGACTCAGTTTACAGTTCACCTTGTTTTGACCCACTGCATGCAAGCTAAAAAAGAAATGTCAATGCTGCACTGAACACTTCTTTAATAAAAACAGAATTAATCTATTAGGGTTTTCAAGGCAGCAGTGACCTCTTATGGAAATCAAGTTTACTTTTCTTTGAATGATAAGATCACTAAAGAGAGAGTCATGATTTCAAAATTCTACCAGACTGTACAAGATAGCTGTGTTTAATTATAAACACTATACATCTTTGAATGTATTTGATGCCCACTTACTAGAAAGAATACTACCATAAACACTATGAGAAGACTCGTTCCTGTTCTGATGCCAATAAGACCTTAGCAACAGGTTCCACAGTCAGTTAGGACTAGAAAATGTATGATGATGCCACTGAGTTCAATCATCACGCTCCTGTCTGACAGGTTTCAAGAAGAATTGTACAGACCAAAGGGGGCATCTCAGAATCAATAACTGGGTCTGCTGAGATCTACTCAGTTTCCTTTTTTAACTGTTTACTTAGCGACTCACTGAAGGACTGAATGGGCAAATCTCAGTTTGTGAATAAAATACTAGCAAGAGCACAATCAATTTCTCTAGTGAACTACTGATCCGGTTTTGTTGAAGGAATGATGTGCCTTTACCTGCAGAAGTTGATTTCAGGATAATTGCCATACTCTGACTTGCGTGAGTTGCGTCGGGGGAATGTGCAGAAGAAGGCGTTTGCCAGAAGACAAGCTATTTGCTCCTGAGATAGAGTCAGGGAATGGTTCATCCTTGACTTCAGTAAGGGAATTGGCTTGAAAAAGAAAGAGGAAAAAAAAGTTGAAATTAGATTTAAAACATACTGTATAACAGGGTAAAGGTGTGAGTCAAAGAAAAGTGAAAAACCGAGAGATGGGATCAAGGTTAGAAATATAGAGGGACAAGGTGAAACATACACTACAAGGTTACATGGACGTGATATTGTAGGTCTAAGGGCTAATGGGATAGATAACTACTTTGGCATTCTAGCAAGCAGAAGAGACAAGGAGAGTTCCATTAGGTAAATGGGTGTTAGTTATTAAGGTCCTGGTATTCTTGCTCTCCCTCAGGTTCTTTCAGTCAGACATGCAGTGCCCATCAATCTTCACTGATTAGGGCTAAAGAGCCTCCCAAGGCCACCCAGTTAGCAGATCAATACCAGCTCTAATAACACACACATAAACATTAGCTTTTATGCTTACCGCAATACCACAAACAAAGTGGCAGGAGTTAGAAATATGAGCATTTCCTCCTTTACTTAAACCAGAACATTTCATTTTTGTCTCCTGCCTAGAGTGGGAGTTAAATTAACTGTATTAAATTACAGAGAAGACACTGAAATAGATAACTAAATTACAAAATACCAATCTTTGAATTCATGCAATGTTATAACTGATGCCAGAGAACAAAAATGAAAACAAATGGGGATGACATTTAGGAGATCTGACATCAATCAACTCCATTTAATGTCAATAAAAGAGGTTTGAAGAGGGTGATATAAAACTCTTGTGTCCAAAATACAGGCTATTGCTCAAAGAAAGAATGCCTAATGTGGAAGTCTACAGAAATACACTGAATTTTAAAAGGTACGGTATAACCAGAATTTCTTCAAGCGCACAAGCATAATCCCTCAGATAGATGACAGGACCTGAGACGGACCTCTCCTCTTACAGCCCTCAATTCTAATGAAGCAGTTTTTGATGTGGACCTAAAAGGGGGCATTCATTATCTTCCATCTGTAACTCATGAGCTGGTCCTGTTCAACATGTACAACCTAACCATTTGTCTTTCCTCCCTTTTGAATGTTTACACTCGCATACTTCCTTCTATGTAATTTAACACAGGTGATCTCTTGACTTTTTAAACCAACGTCCCACTGTATCATAGCAGTTTACGATATCAATTTAACACCAGAAATCCCCCAAACATACACTGTGTACACACACACAAAACAGTACACTGCACTTACCATCGTGCAGAGGCGAGGAGCACTGAGTGCCAGGTCGACCATGGCTGGTAGTATATTCTCAAGCAAGTACTGCACTTCGCAGTGCTCAAGATACTGGAGAGAAGAGACATACAAGAGGCATTGTTAAATGGAATATCTCTGTGACACTGACGGCCTAGTTAGACAGGCAGTTACTCAGAGCCAGCACAGTGACCGAATAGATCTGAAGGGACAGGTTGGTTTGTAACACCACCGATTTTTCAAACCAAAAAGAAAGACGACAATTTCCACAAAAATAATCATGTCACAACAACATGTAACATTATTTTATCAATGTCATATTGCTAATTGATAACACTATACATTTCAAAAAGTCCCCCCAATGAAAACTTTGTTAGTTTTTGCAGCAAAACTTCATTACTCTTGTTTTCTGTGAAACTGCAGAGATCATCGATACCTTATTTTGCAAATAAGTTTATGAAAAGTTTAATTTGTGCAATAGGTTTTACAGTCTAAGGTCATAACCCAGTACCAGTAACTAATATATCTAAGAATATTGTCCTCATATCCAATAAGAACACACTGTCCGTTGATGGCAATAGAGGTTTATTGTTGTTATAAGATAAACTCCCAATCCTGAGATATCAATAATCCCACACTTCAGTGGTGAGAGAAGAAACAGGAATCTTGCAGAGCCACTCAATACACAAAACCTGTTTTAGAGGAAACTACCATCAATCTGCAGGTGAGCCCCCTACGACCGAGGCATCCATACATCAGCCTATAGCTTACTTCAGCATCCATCTGTAATTCCCTCTAAAATAAACACACAGTTATTCCATCATAGACCCAGATTTACAACGCAATCACTTATGAGTGTATTGGCTTCAAATGTCACTGTCATCAATCAATGGCCTTACTGTATCAAGGTAAACAGATTAAATGGACCTTCTGGAGCAAATGCAAATGACCACTTATGGAGAGAGGGGTAGAGCGGCTTGGTTTTCAACAGGAAGTCTTTGGTAGGTGATGTGGCCAGGGGCAATTATATAGCTGCAGAGCAGGTCTGACTAAATGCTGTCAGAAGTAAAGGGCTGGCACACATCATAAAGTGTTCCTGTGGGACTAATAGATGGTAGCTGGTGATGTGGCAGGATGAAGGTGGAAAGATGATCCCCCAGCTTTTCCACAGTTCCAGCAGCTGGCCACAATGGTACCGCATAGGCTGGGCTGCACACACAAACTTTCACATTCCAGCAGGATAGCCTGGATTTACTGCTGCGCTGGCTGAAGCTCATTTATATCATCCATTCTGGTATTTACAAGTTATGTTTCTTTCCTTTGTCAGCTCAAACAAAAGACTTCTTGATTTCACTTTTTTGTTGAAATGCTTTCTAAGCAATATTTTCCAATTAATTTAGTGTCCAACACTAACATTTCAGTACTTTTTTAAATTACCCTGTAAGATACATAGACAACAAGCAACAAGGCACAAAGCTGGGAGGGACAGGGAGTGTTGCCATCTTGCTGCTCAGTGTTAACGTACAACTGGAATATCAGCTGTACTTAATCCCAAATTTCATTCTCAGCCCTCAGACATTGAGCAGAAAGTGACAGAGTGACAGTTTCATTTGTCAGCGGAGAAACACTAAGACCATTTACACACAAGCCCTAATTTGAATAACTTCCCCACCGCCCCCAATAGCTATTACACGTTAAACAAAGTGTCAATCATTGGCCCAGGGCCAATGTACCTCCTGACAAATCATTACAGTGTTGCTTAAATCTTGATCCAGATTTAGTCATGTGGTTTGAGGAGTACAAACAGTCAGGATTTAAATTCACCACAAGCAAAACAGGAATCAAGTTTAAAACAAAACAGTCAGCAAATAAGCAGAACAGTGGGTTCTGTCAAATTCAGCCCACGTGATTTGTCACATAGGAAACAACAGACTGTGAGTGAAAGATAAGTCGCTTTGGATGTTGCGTGCCTGCTGTGGCATGGTAGCGGTAAACCACTCCTGCTCAAGGGCTGCCCCCTCATGCTGCATCCATCAACTGACAGAAATTAAATGGACATAATACAGTCAAAACCAGAGTTATTCTGTCTGTACACATACACTCACCAGCCACTTTATTAGGTACACCTGTACAATTGTATGCAATTAAATGCAACACTTTTGCCTTAACATCTGTGTTTATGAAGCTCAAAATGTTTCCATTTTCTGTGAAATTGTCATAAATTTATAAATTCAATGATATGTTTATTATTGAGGTCACAGTTAAAGGGTATTCAGGGACAGTGAATGGACATTTTGAGTCACATACACACAACAGATTCCTGAATGGGCAACTTTCTTGCTACCATTACTTACCATCCTTACAGACTGAATGGGTCCTTTTAATCAAATTGGATTAAGGTAGAAAAGGTTTCAGGCAGCTATTGATCTGCTGGGCTCTCTGCATTACTCTGAGAAATTATTTCAGAGACGAGGGGGAAAAAAGATTTTGGAACGGGTTGAATTTAGCTGAATAATCAGCTGTAAGAAGGGATGAAATGTGTCTGAGTGGATAGTAAGAACTCCCACTTAACTATAAGAGGTCCATTAGAATAATGAGTTTATTTCTAATGGCTCTAATCAAGACAAACTTACCCACATAAAGTTTTACAACAAACTATATATTTTACTACATGTAGGTTAACTAAGTTAGGCTTCGAGTGGATTCTGATAGCTTTCTATTCAGTCTGCCTTTTTTTAATCGACCAACTGCCGTAGGGTGGTATTATAGTCAGTAAGTACTGTAGACTTACTGCTAATTTAATACAGTGGCAGTCGACAGGCAGTACTACCAATACTGTTTCTACAAGATTTCAAGAATGAATGTCTAATAAATAAAAAAAAAAAAAAGACTGATGCTGTACTTTAAAATCCTAAATTTATAAAACTCTTAATAATTTCATTACATTGGCCTAATCATGCCAGACAGGAAGTTGTTTCTCTAACAACAGGTATGTAATTGCAGGGCCTAAATGTCTGAGCATAAGATAGGGAGTGTTAAAAGAAAGGAGGAAGGAGACAGAAAGAAAGACGTTCCCCTGGTTCACCTGCAACAGCTGCTGCCGTCATGCTCTGTGCTCATCTGTCCTAACTGTATGATGCATATTTGCTCCAGTGAGATTTCCAAGTACTGGGAGGGGAATGACGCATACTGATGGGCTGGCAGCCAAACAGAGAAACGCAGACTCCCCTTGCTACAACAACTCTAGCTTCATTCTTCATTAAGGTAAAATGTAAAGACATGATTAATCATGGCGAGTTAGAAAAAACACTGCCAGTCCCTAGAAAGGTCAACGCAACAGGGCATCACTCTTAGAACTGTGTTTATTTAGAGTTCAATTATATTAAAAAAATACAAATGTGAACCCCCCCCCAAAAAATGAGAGAATAAACTAGAGTAAAAGCACAAGTGTTGTGATCCTTTGGATGAGATTTTCCCATCTAAGGAAAAGAATTTTAATTCCAAATGCTCCAGGTCCGAGAGATACTTAAGTGTGGTCAGTATGCTTCAGTGAAGTTATTTTGAGTATTCCTGTTTTATCACATCCAGTGTCTAAGTTCTGAACAGCTTACCTCTGTGCAAAGAAGGTTCAAGGCAGTGAAGTCCCATCGTTTTGCATGGGCTATGTTGTATCTCAATATTGCATCCTGAAGAGGAGAATGAGGAATTATCTCTTCACAGAAGACTCATTTTAAATATATAAACCTGTATGACCAAATATTAACAACATTTTAATGCACAAATACACAATCAAAAGTATTATTTTAATGCATCAGGCAGTAAGCTGTAATTTATGCAAACTCTGCCACCATGTGGCTGTTTATGGAATTGGCCTTGTGCATTTGAAATGGCTATGACAGCTCAAGTTGAATAAAGCATGAGAAGAGAAATTCTCCCATATCAAAGACACACTGGCTAAATAATGATAGATATTGGCTGAGAAAAGAATTCCAATTGTATTACAATGGCTAAATTTGAAAAGGCATGTTGTCCTTTCTATTTTTGCCTTCTAGTACCACTAAGATGGTGTTTACAACGATGGTGCTTGTTCTGAAAATAAGTTTCACATTTTAGTGTTGACATTAAAAACAAATCTTTCTGTCAAACTTGTGACATATGCCTGTCCATATTAGTTCAGTAATGTTTAGAAGTAATGCACAAATTTGCTTTTGTAAAAAAAAAAAAAAGGTAAAAGACACTAAGCTGCTTTTCTTGGTTTTGGTGTTTTGTTGAGGACTTCAGATGTGTGCATTTTTACATGTAAAACACCTTTTCTTCATGTAGATACAGAGTATGTTCAGTTAAATTTGGCCCAGTCCCGTTCAGCACAGTTGTCTTACCCTAACATCCAGAAAACATTTGAACCCTCCCTTCAAGGCAGTTTGGATGAGCTCCCACCGGCTCTGGAGACCACTTCCATTCTGCATAAAATGACATACTTTTTTAATTAATATGATCTTACATAATGACATACTTTTTTAATTAATATGATATTACATTAACTAACCCTGCTGTAGTACACTGGCATGGTTTGATATAAGGCTGTGATGCAGCTACGGAGCAGCAGGTCTACAAATAATATACCTCAGCCTCCATAGGAAACAAATTCTTCTCAGAGCAGGGCATCTTCACTGACACATCATCCCATGCGTCTTTGAACTTGCTAGGGTATGGAACAGGAACCTCTCCTTCTCTGAGGAGGTCTGTCTGTAACAGGGAAATAAAATGACAGAGTAAACAAAATGTCTTTAGAAATCACTGTTGTTTTTTTTGTGCAGTGAGAAAAGTTGTCTCATTGCTTATTAAAAAGATGTGTACTGCAATTTTGAAACCTTCTCGCACTTAGGACATGTTATGATAGATAGGTTGAAAGTAAGAATCAGTGATTCTAGCACTTTACATTACTTCTAAACAATTTTTTAAGAGAATTCAAAATATGCCTAATGGCTTATTTTCAAGTTGAATACATAAATAATAAGCATACAAGCTTAACTTTACCAAAAGTAATGTCTATTCTGCAGGTTGACTAAACAAACTGAAAGCTGTCCAGATTTTAGTTTAGTCTTAAACCACTAATTAATTTAGAGGATGATGGGCAGCCTCTAGCTTGGGTGGCAATGGCTGGTGATGGTTGGAGCAAGTAGTACAGTAGCTGCACACCAGCAGTGACAGTGTTCCTGTGGGACTAGCAGTGGAGGACACAGTCAGCTTCACTGACAAGAGGCCCTGAGGGGATCATGGAGGATGACTTCACTCTGCTCATCACTGTCTCCCATTTCTCATTCCCACTGTCTCTATCTATACAGCATTTTTTTAACACTCTCTCTGCCACTATTCTTTTTCCTCTTATGAAAACACCAAATGGAGTTCCCCCCCCCAACACAATGCCCAGTCACATCTGCATGTTTTTTAAAACTGCAGTACTCTTCCTAACGTTCCACATACAAAAATAGAGAAAGAACAGGTGGCTGATGACTCACCCTGACTGTGATTGTGTGATCATGCGCTACTTTCAAGTGAAACAAAGGAGGGGCACACTGAGGCATTCGGTTCAGTTCATCTATGGGTGTCCCCAGCCAACCTTTGTCCATGTTATGCAATATGAATGAAGCACTGTGTAGAAGAAAAACAGAACAAGTCAATATACCACATCATTAGTGAAGAAACCAAACACAGTGGAGCTAGGACACAACAGGAACAGATGATTCAGTAACCATTAATGGCCAGAAGTGGCAGAGAAATGTGAAAATGTTCACATTTACCTTTAGAAATTTACAACTTACTGGCTTCCAATTGAGTCCTGGCTCCCATCACCTGGGCCACTGCACTCAGCTATCTCAGCATCACCAGTCCCCACGGCAACCTGATGGGCTCTTTCTTGGGCCAAACCCCCAGACTCACAGTCATTGACAAACCCGTGAGATTCCTGAGCCTTTGCAATGCCAGAGATCTCTGAGCAAACACTGCTGTCATGAACTTTTTCTGAAGAACTGCTGGTGACCATCGGCTGCTGACTGTCGGGACTCAGCATCTCTACATCACTGGATATACTTGCATCCTTCATGGGACTATTACTATTAGTAAGACAGAGGGGTTGAGTAACGTTTCCATCAACACAGGTTGCTTTAACACGGTGGGGACCAGGTGAACTAGGCCTCTTAGATTTCTGCCCATTAGAACAGTGTGTTTGAGCTGTGTTACTTCTGCTGCCAGCAGGGTCAGATTCATCCAGCCCACCTGCAGACCCAACGTCCATTGAATGTAGAGATACTATGTCATCTTGTGTGTCCTCTGTTAGTACTACATCTTTTGTAGTGTCAGACTTTTGTGGTCGACTAAAGAGTTCATCTTCTCCATCTGACAAGTTTGTTTTTGGAGAATCACTCTTTACATCCTCTGACTTGACTTCAGGAGTCACACTGTAACAAAGTGAGAGAAGGCTTTGTTAGCAAACTGAATCGACAAAACAAACCCTTGTGACATCTTTATCCCCCCTATTTTCAGAATAAACATACCCCCTTTGGTTAGCAACTATATTCTACGTGCATATTTCTTGCTTAGAACCCTTAACAAAAGATTAAACACACAAAATCCTAATGGCCATATGACTCTTACCTTTGAGAATCCATTACTTCATCCATCTTTAACCAGTCAGACAAGATGAGTCAACAGTAGCTGCTTCAGAGAAAACAAAACATACCGATGTTGAAAAGCAGCGACATTTTTGATAATTTTAAACATTCCTACTAAGTTACATTACATACTGTATGGACTATATAGTCGTTTTCTGGTGTCACTGAACCTCAGGTGAAGAATAACATTTTCGGGTCATGAAGCTGGGAAACTCGCGAAGCGAGTCCCTGTCAAAGTGTTTCAGCATCTTGCTACGGTATCAGTTGCATTTTGTACAAACATACGCTCAGCAGCCAACACATCTGGGAGAAAAACTGCTGCTGTCAAGCTCCACAAAGCTACTGACTAGCTAGCTGACAAACCAGCCTTACAGTTTATTTTTGACATTTACGGTAAAACAGTTTCTCTGCTATTAGTGACACTTTATTTTCCGAGGGATTTCGCATCTTGCAGCGGAAAAACATCGTGAACTAACTTAGCTGACTAAAAATCTAACAAACGTTAGCTATTATTCGCTAGCTTCAATATTGTTGATAGCACTAGGTTAACGCAATTCAACTGAATCAAGCTAGCAATACTGTCTCTATTAAAACGAAGACATGCAACTTACAAGCATGCCACGCTTTGTGTAAGACCTCCGGTTTAGATTAATTACATATGTACAACATATCTCCCCAAATACTGTCGTTTGCTTACTTTTTTTCGTTGTTGCAGCTTCTTCTTCTTCTATGGTTTTAACCACAATTTAAGACTGGGTACATTACCGCCACCTTTTGCTTTGGTGTGTTGGCCAGAGATTAAATCCTATTTACTACTTTGTCCTGTTTTGAGCAAAGATGACAAAAATTCACAGGTACCAGCATCTTAAATGTTGGCGTTTGCCAGTTTCTGTGAAGTCAAATGAACTAAGTGATTGAATATGTCGTTTTTACAATATTTTTGGGCACCAAGCAATCATCCAATTTTTATAAAGAAACTAATTGTTAGATGATAATAAAAGTGATTATTTCTTTCCACATTGCAGTAGTTCGGTGATGGAATACTTAATAATAGCCTACTACTTTTCACCAGAAGTAGCAATGATTTGATAATAAGACACACCTTACACAAATAAACTCAATATTGACTAAAACACTGAAGGTCTTAAAACTAGATTTTGAAACAGGACCCTTCTACACGACCGGCCACAAGATGAAAGACCAGTCACACTGTAGTTAATACATTGTTGGCCTACCTCAGAAGTGCACATTTCTGACCAATGTGCAATTTATCAAATTATGTAGACCTATATGACATGGGTGTCATCTGGCACTTCTGGGCTGTTGCCCATTTTTCCCATTTGGTAATCCAGCCTTGAAAAGACACTATTTGTGTACTTCATTTTGGATTATTTTTAACTAACCAAACAGCAACACAATGAAACATAAACACTTTCTTTATATCAGTGTACTTCATTTTGGATTATTTTTAACTGACCAAACAGCAACATGGAACTCACAATTGTGCAAACTATAATGAAACATAAACGCTTTCTTTATATCAAACTTTATTAATATCAGTTTGTTGACAATCTTTACTTTTTTTCAAAATGTGATCACATACAAGAGATGCAGTACAAGTAATACTGAGAGTGCCAAAAATAAAAGTAGACATCCAGTCAATAATACACAATTAAATGCGCCAAAGAATGAGAGAGCATTCATATGGAAGCTTAGTATACGAGTTAAATGATGTTTACCCATTATTTGGCCCTAAAGAGGACGGTGAATCTTCAGATCCCCACAATAAGCCACCCTATTTTCCAGACCTAACCTACCCCCAACGCATACTATTCTCACCGAAGCAAAGAGCAGATATGTGGCTTGACACACAGCATCCACATTGTATTTACCCAAGTTAAGCAGCGGCTGGCCTAACTGGCTTGTAATGGCCATAATTATGTGTGAGGAAAAATATGAATATCAGTCTGCTATGGCATCAGCAGAGAAAGTTACTGTATATTTCTGTGGGTAACAATGAAGAGTACTAAAGACTGCTACAGGAAGGCAGGCTGCTTCTCTGCAAAGCTCCTTAGGAAAAAGGCTTCACAATCTTCATTGAGATGTAATTCTGTGGAGAGAAAAATACACTTAGTTACTGTAAATCTCATGTACCCTCTTGAAATTAAAACCACTATTTAAAAAAATTTTTTTAAAGTACTGTAGTGCAGTGAATGAATATTCAAATTGTTTTAGACAAACTACCACCAGTGTTATGATGAATAAAACAAATTTATAGTAGTTTTAGAAATACTCAAAGAAATTATCATTGATTTTCCAATGACTGTTCTGCTCGCTGTGGTGTACTGCTCACCTAAGTTTAATAAGGATTTGAAACAGAAATTTGCAGACTTTGTTTCTAATATGGTGCTTAAATATGATTGCTTATTGATTGATTGTTGGTGATTTTAATGTGCATGTGTGCTGTGAAACTAGATCTCTGGTTAAAGAGTTTCTGGATCTCATTGACTCTTTTAATATCACACAGTCAGTCAATAGCCTGAATGACACTACTAGCATGTAGAAGATCAGAGAGAAGGTGAAAAAAGGACATACCTCAAGTTTCTCTAGATATATTAAGACTCTCCTGTTTTTATTGGTGTTCGGTTGGGTAAGGAAACATTGTTTTAATCTTTTGTGCTTTTATTCTCTATTTATTAAATTTTTTATCTTGCGATTATTTATTTTAAATTGTTTTATTCTGTAAACAACCTTAACCTTGTTATGTTTTGCCCCCATTTGTACAACACTTTGGTCAGCTGTGGTTGTTTTAAATTGTGCTACATAAATAAATTTGACATTGACAATGACAGAGTGATCTTACAGGCAGGGAGTAGAACAAAATCCCAAAGAACAAGAGAACCAGCAGAAGAAGAATCACAGCAATGAAAATCCATTTGAATCTGTGCCAAACTATGAACTTCATGGTCTTCCAAGGGTTTGTAAACCAGAAGAATGACATGTCAGGGCGGCTGTTGAATGAAGACAAACAGCAGTGTTCACATGATGTAAATCCATGTAAAACAATAGTTTTGTGTCTGACAGACATATTTCTTACTTCGGTAGGTCCAGTTTGGGATTCATGTTGGGCTCATCTCTGCCTTTCCCAGCAGGTCTCTCTTCCATGTCCTTCTCCCCCACTATTTCCAAGGTCATCTCTACTTTCCCCTGAGAAATATTGAAAAACAGTCTTAAACACAAACTAAATAAAAAAAAAAAACTTTGCAAGGGACTGCAGTGTGGACACAAACATACACCAAGCACAGGTTTCCCATTCTGTTCTATCATGCATGGCCACCAGCCTCGTACAGACTTCTGGGAGAAGAGAGAGTTGTGTTGTGGCTGCTTTGAAGAGGTCAAGCTTGTCATCGCTGGCAACATCTTCAGGCTGCACTTTTCTGGAGTCTTAGCAGGGGGGATCAGATTATGTAGGTCCAGCTCAACTGAACCTGTGACAGAGATATGGATAAAAAATTGCGTACATCTTTTGGTGCATACATACAGTGCACACATTATAATAGGCCTTTTTCAAGGCGTTCTCTGTCTGGTCATGGCATAAAATGTGGTTACAATTTCACCTAAGTAGTCATCCAGGGAGAATTTGTCATTGTCCCATATCTGGATGATGAGTTTAGGAGGAATCCTAAACTCAGTTTTATCCAGGCTCCAAAAATGTTCCTATAAAAAATACAATTTATATCATTACTTGCCATCACATACCATCAAAAAAAAACTTTCTGCTTTCCTCCTGATCCATGATTTCACTTACTTTCCTTGAGATGAAACACAGCTGTTCTGCAGGCAGGTACTCAAACCCAAAGATGAACCTCCAGTTAAAATTACCATCACCATCCAGGGATCTGTAGTGGACATCAGTCTTCTGCTTGTCCTCCTCCATTCCTGGCATCCATCTGTGAAACAGTTTTATACAGATAAACTATTTGTCAGCAAGTCCAGTAGAAAGAAAAATAGGACACAGAGTGCCAATAAATGGCAATGGTATCAGGTGGGGAAAGTACTGTACCCTTTAACGTAGATGTCGCTCATTTTTTCTCCCGTGATGCTTGTTTCATCCAGAATGACATCACTTGTGTTCCAAATGATGGCTCGCAAGAAGTACCTGTTTCAGATATTCTGTTATAGTTCCTGCTTCAGTGCATTAAAATGTTAATATTTTTTCATGCGTTTCTTACTTCTTGGCTTTGCGTGGAGTGATGTCACACGGTGGCTCTGGCAAGCCAAGGCTCTTGGGGAAAATATCAACCCACATTTGAATTTTTCACTACATTTGTGAAAAAGAATGTCCCTTTTAAACAAGGCTAACACATTAAACACATTTAAATGATCATTTCACAGAACATTATAATAACATTACTAAATGCTGAAAAACAAGCGCAGTGTTATTGCTGTTGTTTTAACCTGGGATAGATTGGGTTGGTGGGAGCTACACAGGGTTCTGGTCTCCACATGTTCTGGTACCAAGCCCTGGCTTCTGAGGACATGCAGGGCCAGTCTCTCTCTGGCTGGCCCCAGATGTGGGTGGATCACAGTGCTTGCCTCTGGTAAGGGTGTGACAGATCACAAGACAGAGAGTGATGAGTGTTTAGCCAAAATGAGAACAAAGTATGGTATACCTATTGCCAATTGTTTAAAATCCTATAAGATAAGCTTATAGAAAAAGACACAACCAGTGAGATAACAGAAGTAACAATTTACAAATAATAAGTAGTAAGAAGCAGTACCAAAATCTTGCAGGTTATAATGTTTTCCTGAGAAAGACAGTGAGCTGCCATCTGCTTCTATGTATGGAGGAGGAACACCACTTATTTTGGCCAGATTCTGGAGGATGTGGGAAGGCTTCAGCTGATCTCGCCACTGATTGATCCCTGACCTGCAAGAAAAGGGTACCAGTTGTGTTAACCTTATCACGGTATGTAGGTAAGGTAGTGCTGCACAGGTTCAGCTTTAAGAAACAAAACACACTGAAAGAGAAGTCCCTGGCATACTTTGTAGGATGTGTCAACATCTTGTAGATGTGGAACAGTATCTGAAGCCTCACTTTGAGGATATACTTACACACAGTAAGTCTGTGGCAAGCCACAGCAGGGCCTGAAGCGGGACAGGAGTCTGTTCTCCAAATCGATGACTGTCTCACCCACTTTTTCATCCTTGCTCAGTAAGTCATAGTCATACACAGAAACCTTCAGGTCTTTATCTTGAGGCAGGAAGCAGGACAGCTCAAACATCCTGGAAAAAATGGAAAACATTCATTTATGTCTCTACACAAACTTAAAACTGGTCTTAATTATATGAATAAATGAAAAAGTGAACAAAACGTGTTGTGAACTGGTCACATCGCTGTCACACCTTCCAAACTCTGGATTAAGGGTGTTTGGTTTGTAGTGATCTCTGTCATTCAGTGTTTTCCTCCCCAGTGTGATCTTGATGTATGGGTCACACTGAAATTAGAATGCAACATATCATCTTAGCTTCAGTAGCTTCAAGCATCTTTTTCATTTTATACAGCTCTGGGGCATTCAAATCTGGATATGAGTTTTTCTCTAAACCACGGTGACTGTTCAGTTGTAGCTTCAAACAGAACTCACCAAGCCATTTGTATCTTTAGGCTGCAGGTCAATACAGCGAACTATATATATTCTGACCAGACATTCCTGAGGTCCACTCTCAGGGAGCTCTCTGAACTGGCGGGGTGGAGCTGCCACCCCTGGGTCATCAGGCAGTGGGTAAATCTTGAATGAGCCCTGTATATCAGCAAAGAGGACAGCACTATTATTTATATAATATGTATCTCAAAACCAATTATGTTCATACACCAAGGTAAAAGTAGATTAAAGAACTGAGAATAAGAAATTTAATATCTATGCAGCTTTCATCTGAGCACCAAAAAAGTTATCCAACAAATAAAAACAAACCGGGTCATCTAATTTGAGATAAAGATTTTATTGCATTCATCTACCAGTAACATGATATAGAGAAGGGACACATACTGCACGCTGCAAAATGTTTTTTGAAATTCTTGGATGATCCACTTGAGGGCAGACAAAGGTTGGGAAAAGCTTTGAATAATGGCCAACAACAGTGGCTCAGACACAGTGGGAGAGTGCTCTGTGACAGACAGTAACACGTCTTTACCTTGAACTCTCCAACCACAGAAGGATCTTCTATGCCATCTTCAGTCTTTCCTCGTTGAAGCTTGAAAGTGCTGCAGAAATCAGTGAGCCCCTGGAACTGTGGAACATCTTCTAGTTCACAGTCATATACCTACGAACCACATAACACAATAACAGACACATGAATGGTTAGAAAATCATATGCCACAGTAGGGGACTACTCCAAATTTGTCTTAATGTTCTTTTTTTTCAGATATTGAACTATTCAGCTGTGGCTTGTAAAACCTGCCCAAACTCCACCACGGATAAAATCAGTCCTGGTGTGTGTTCTCATGTTCTTACATGTTCTTACCTGTAAGGTGTCATAGCCTTTTTTCAGGTAAGGTCCACACTTCTCCAGCTCGCTAACAGATGCATAGAATTTACTCCACCAGTCTACTCCCTCCTCCTACAAAATGGAAAATGATGATCAACTTGGTATTCTTAGTCATTCTCCATCAGTAGACTGTGAAAAAAGAAAAACTCACCTTTTCTGCTTGAGGCTGCAAAGGGGAAAGAAAACAGAGTATATTTATCAACAAAAACAAGTAGATAAAACCTTGCCACACTGCTTATGTGATTGCTTTTTATTTACCTGAGTTTTCATGATGTGTCTGTCCTCCATGTCTATAACAACATCTCCTTGGGCAGCAGCTATCATTGCCACTGCAAAGTTAGTGTAAAAGTTAATCTCTAATGTATGTACTGTAACTGTATCTATGTATGTGTGCTAGTTATCGCATATGCGTATATACAGTACCTCTAGCAGACATGCAGACTTCACTGTTAACGAGATATGGATCACAGCGGAACTTCTCCAGACAATCGATAGTGCACTGACCCACTACAGGTTTCCTTCCAAAGGGTCGGTGGTCTATTACCTTCAGTACAATGGGAGGGGTGTACATGTCCTCTTTTGGAAGAAGCTAAGTGAACAGCAAGAGAAAATATTTAAAATCTACATAAGACACATTTAAAGGTGTCTGAATATTTTCTATAGAAAATATGAAGGCTAGTACCACTTTGAGAAGCAGAACGGATCCAGAAAAGTTTGGGTTCTTTTTGAAGTTCTTGATGACAGCGGTTTGCACAATCTCACCACCACATTCCACTATCAAACTCGGGGAAGAAACTGTGGCGATCTGGTAGGTCTTCATGTTCCGCAAGCCCCAAGTCAAGACCTGGGATCAAATAAACATGGTCACAAAAACTAGCATGTGATCAAGGGACAAACATGGTGGCATAGATAAGTGAAAGGAAAGAAGGGAGTCACAGAAGAGAAATGCAATCACAGAAAGAATCTCAGGGTTGGGCTGGTCTTGTCTAATCATGTAATGTTTGTGTGAAGGGAATTTCTAGCAGCTTTTAAAGGAGCTGGATGGCTTGATGTTGTACCTCGATTGCAGTGAGCTGCACTACAGGCCTAATGCCCTGAGGAACCATGTAGAGCTTTTCCCCCCTCCGAGGAGGGATCAGGGGCAAATCTCCATCTTTCACCTAAAAGGCAAAGAACAGTATTATCTTGTAAATATAGTTTCATAAAGTTAAATTTCAGTATATTTGTTTTCTTTAGAGTGTCTATTACCTTGTCCTTCAGGAGCAGCTCTGCAGCTACCAGTACTTCCCCAGCACTGTGGCCCTTTCTGGTGACTGGGAACCAGAGTAGCTTAGGGCTGATAGCCACACTAGGGTTCAGTTTTACCACTGGGGGGCATGTGCAACGTCCCATGGGCTCATCTTTACCCTAGAAAATAAAAGAAAGCAGCACACTTGATAGTTCTGTATGATTTTGTGATTAGATCAGATGTTTGCTAGAATAACATATCACATACCACTTGATCACTGTCGTACAACTCCAACACCACATCAGGAGGGCTGTGGGCAATGGTCTGTGGGTCTCCATAAATTTCAATGTCATCAAAGATAAGAGTCTGATCCCATGTGGGGTTCAGAGTGGCTCTTATGACTTCTGTGGTCTTACTCACATGTAGGAATGACACATGGGCATAGGGATCTGGAGAAGGCCAGGGTATTATTTAACTGAACTGTGATTTGGAATGTGGAGACTGATGTTTAATGCACTTACAGTACATCATGAGTAGATTTCATTTATTCCTCCTGACTGAGGTTGCACTTTGACTGTTCATACTGAAACATGAATTTAGTGCTTTGTTTGTACCTGAGAAGCTGTCTTTGTCCATGGCACAGAGGTTCCTTGCCTGATACACATACACCCTCAGATGATAAACGTAAGACCCTGTAGGGAGATCATTTTAATCAGGATGCCAAACTACTTCAGCACTAAAAACTGCATAATCTCACAGAACATCTGATACACTGCTGATTAAGCATGTACACGTACAGTATTTATCATGATCTTACAGACTTCATGGTTCAGTGTTATCTTGCATTAGGACCAGACAGGAAGTCTGGTCCTAATGCAAAAAAAAAACATGTGGCCTTTAATCAGCATCAGTGCCCAGGAATTCATTTCGTCTAACCCAGCTACTTACGGCTAAAGTAACAGGAAACAGTGGGAGTGTTGGCACCAAACAGTTTGGCTGCATCTGTTTTACTGGCCTTCTCATCAACATCAACACCCTGATAATAAAATGAAGGGTGAGTTACTTAAAGGAACAATTTACAGCAAACGTTTGAGCAAAATGAAAATGGGCATCTCAGGAAAGAATGCAAAACTTAAACTTCCTCAGTTACAAGGGCATCTCAGGAAAGAATGCAAAACTTCCTCAGTTACAGTGTGTGCCCACATCTGACAGGAACAGTTACATGCGGGGGAATAAAGACAGGATATTACTCACATACCATAAAATAACTGCTGTGGCCATGACAAGTGCCTCACTGGGGGACATAAACTGGCTTACATTTGAGAGTGCAAAACATACATAGCAATATTACTCAGAGGAGTTAAGCAAGACTCACTAATGCCCCTTCCAGTTTGAAGATAGCGGAGGCCCCAATACGGTCAGATGGGACCATCTTTCTCCTCCAGCGGCGGCGGCGGAACGTGTCAGAGGAGCGTTCCTTCCTGTGGAATTTCCAGCCAATCAGGGAAGAGTATTCCCAGCCTTCCCCTGGATCACTTTTCTGCAGAAGAGGCATGGACAAGAAAAGAATGAGAAACTGTACTCATAACATTCAGTATGTCAGATCTCTTTATCTCATATACCTTGTCCTTACCTGGGCCGCAGCCTTTTTATCAGATGTCTTTCTCCTCGTTCTTCTGAGTCTCCTTCTGCGATGGACATGATACATCTTCTCTGCTGCACCCCAGGATTTGGGATTATCATCAGGAGGAATGGTAACTCCGTATTCCCAACCTAATGCCGAAAGACACACAGATGTACACAGAGACCTAGTTAGAATCATAGTATTCAGTATCAAAGTACCAAACACGGAAGGACAGTTAAGAGAAGATTTTGAAGATTTACCTTTCTCATCTACAGCTCTGTTGCTGTCAAAGCTCCACTCATCCTCCCAGGTCCACCCAGGGGGACATTCAATCTCTCCTAGGCTCAAAGCCTTTTCTCCATTCTACACAACACAGACGCTCATTGTCATCCATTTATGTGACATATCTGTATATTTCTAGTATGAAGCACTCTAAGCATTCAAATTAGTTAATTTCAGTATTAATTTCCACTTAATTTTTAAAATATTTTAAGCAAATATACTCAATAATACAAATACTGGCTGATTACATTTTCTCAAAAGGAAAATGTTTATCATGCATTATGGTATTGCTGTAATATCAATAATCTTAAATCTTAAACCAATAACTGATTTTTTTTGGCCACTTGGGGCCTGATGAAATTCAAAATTCACTTGCTTTTTAGATTAGTTTTTTTCTCTCCACCACCAACTCCTGATAATTGATTCATTGCTATAGTCGGTTTATCTGAAAACACTTACAAGCTATTTGGAATGAGAGTAAATCAAACAGTAAAGCGGCAGGCCATAAAGCCAAAAAAGTTAACTCAAAAAATGGTCAAAATGCTTCATAGAGCTGAGGGGAACTGCAGAGTCAGGTGATAATTCTCTGTGGGTTTGTCACTATGAGCAAGCCTTACCACATTACACAGAGTCATTTGATCCCTAAGTTTTTTGGATCTTACTCAGACAAGTGCATCTAAACAATGTTATATATTCATTAGTAGCAGTCCTAAGTGAAGCTACACATCACAACCAGAAATACACTGGATCACATCCATAAAGTTCATAAGCTTATTTACATAAATGCAAACACAAAGTTGCACACCAGTCCCAAGTACAAAATAGCACAGGAGCAACTGCTAACATAGAAAACAAGCATGAATAGTTCGGCTTTTGATCTGTTATCTTTACCCACATTTTTCAGTGTGTTTGTGTGTGGTATGTGTGTGGTTGCAGGCAATATGTCATACCACATCTGTATAGGGCTCTGCAGCAAGTTTCCACTCCCCACCAGGGAAACGGGTTTCATTCTGAAATACTTCGTCTGTGAACTCTGTATGGCCTGCATCTGCTTCAGTCAAAAGGCTATAGAAAACACCACCACAGCACACAGGTTGATGGGAGGTTCTGTGACTCAGACAGTCAGACAATAGCTATGTAGGACCATGATAAACAGCTCTGGAAAACCGGATTCAGAGAGTTAAAATTATTTACATGAGCCTCAGTGGAAGAATGTAAGCACTGAGGTAGGAGGCACTAAAGCAGGGAATGAGACCTCTTTCAACCAAAACATTAGCTGATACCAGAATTCCTTTGCATTTCCTGTGATTGTGCTGACTGGTCCAAGACCTCATTATGAAAAATGTCAGTTCAGGGGAAGAGAGAGCTGAAATATGAAAAGGACTCTGGAGTGTGTTCAGTTGCACTGTGAAAATAGCATGTGTGTACTTGAAACTATAAAAGCTATGAATCACAAAGGACTGTCTGAGTGCATGCTTGTTTGTGATAGATTTTTTTAAACTTACCTTCGCTCAGGGTCAACAAACCAGTCTCCCTCCCATTCCCATCCCCGTGGTGGCAGAAAGCGTTCTTGTTTGAGTTTGACCTTTCCAGTTACATCTGAGCACTTATGGCGACCAACCAGACCAGTGGTTCCCCACTTCCCAAACACCTGAGCCTGGTTCTCATACTGCAGAGAAAGAAAACAGTGAGAGAACACACAGCTGAAAGCAGAAATGTCTATATGTATTTTTGAAATAGCTAATGTCCTGTGTAGCTACTGTACCATTTCAGCATACACACTGAAGTTTCCCTCTGAGAAGCTATTGAACTTCTGCTCATGGGCAGAGAGACCAAGCCACATGTTGATCCGTAGCTGAACAGGGATCTTCACACCCTTGTTTTTATCCATGGGGTACTGACAAATCAAAAGGTAGGAAAGTAAAAACCGGCTATTTCTGAAATAAAATGATGAAATGACACTGTATGTTTATTAGTCTTGCACCTGCATGAAGATGGTTTGAGTTTGTCCACAATGTTTGCCACAGGCCTGTTCACTTAAGCTTGAGTACAGGATCCGGTTGGCTGGAATTCGAGCAAAAGCCACCCGCTTCTCTCCTCTCAACATCCAGATGATCACATCTGGCATGCTGTTCTGAGGCTGATGGAGACACAAAACATTTTGGTTACATAATTAATGCTTTAGTCATAGCTTCTTTATCTACATAACATTATATTTTTGCTGGAGATGCACCCTGGGCCCTGTAAAGGGCTGAGTAGATTTTTTCCTGACCTCTTCTGCCAGCTGCTTGATTCTGTCCAACCAGTCTTCAATGTCACTGACAGTAGCCTTAACATCTGTGGCCTCTTCTCTCATACGATTGGCCATCTGTTTGATACTGTCTATGGCAGCATCTCGCAGGATTTTCATTTGGAGATCCAATGTAGTCAGATTGGACTGGCCGTCCAGCACTGGAAGCTGGAAACTGTCAAATAGAGACCAAAGTAAAACAATGACAGAATTCAACACAAACACCCACCTGGAAATGTATTTGATCAAATATCAGTAACCACACTACTGTCAGGTAATGATTAGCTATACAGCATTAAACCATACAGTACAACCCACAGGTCCAGTGTAGGATCTATCTGATCCTGTCTTACCTGTTAAGGTCTTCAATTGTTTGGTTGATGAGTTTGAGCCAAATCTCTGCCAGATGTGTCTCAGACACCTTGGCTAAGATGGCTGTTTTTAAAGAGGTGAGGTAGGACTCCTAAAATAGACATTCACAAAGACAGATCAAATTAAATTACTAAGCAGGACTACCTGTGTAGACATGGACCCTATTTAGCCAAGTACTCCCAATTTCCACTGCAGCTTAGTCTCACCAGTCTCTCAGCTATGAAGAGGAGAATATTGACAGTGTCTAGACGGTGACTGATGTCTTCCCAGTATGATGTCAGAGTCACTACAGGCTTAGTGTCAGCCCAGGGTAGGTAATAGTAGTGATTACCTGTGGCATACAAAAAAATATATACCCAGTCATTGTAAACACAACTTGTATAGTTTACCACATGCTAAAATTAGACGTCTATGTGGTCTTGTTTCATGACCCTTTAAACACATAGACTTACAGTGTGATAAACAACTTAACTAAAGAACTGTCTAATTAATATCCACTGATAGAGAGGAGTTAGAACAATGCGTTCCACTCATAGCAGTTATTTATTTAATATAAATTTAAGTTGAAAATATAATTAACATGGTTTAAATACTATATACGGTACTCTATTTGGACATCCGGCAGGCTGCAAAAAAAAAATTGACAATTAGACAGCAATTAGACTCTCTACTTGCTTGTGTCATGAAAATATCAGAAAGTAAAAACACACAGCAACATCCTGGACTGTAACATGGAATAAATGATTTTTTTCAATTCATGCAGACTTTTTTTTCATACCATCAAATACAGCAAAGCTGTACTGGGTGGTGGATGCCAGAGGCTTGCAGGTGGAGTCTAGCTTGTTACCATAGTTTCCAATGCTGACCTCAAACTGAATAGGTTCTCCTGGCTCTTGGAGCATGCAGGCACTGTGGAACACAGCGCACAGAGAGTACTTCCTCCTTCGCTGATATTTCTGCAATGAAAGAGGATGCAAAAGTGTCGGTTGTTAAGGAAGATATATTTTGTTTTTCTTTTTCCTCATTCTTAAATGTCTCTGTTTTTGACCAGACACAGGAAAGCTCTTGAAAATCCACACTGTAATAACATTGTCAAGGAAATAAATAATTAAGGACTATATGGTGACTTAACACCAACCTGTATTTTAAGGGTTGAAATCTAAATCAAAGAAGACAGTAGTGTAGTACAGTATGACAGGGCTACAGTATGCAGTGTATACCTGTACCACCAGGATATCATCACTACAAATGTCATCAACATTTTTATCAATCTTTTCATCCAGCTGAGTGGACAGCTCAACAAGGACCCTCCCCCTGTAGGCAACCCCTTCACCCTGCAAGAGATCCAAATGCAAAAAATCATGTACACATACTTATGAAGGTGAAATATCATGTTTATACTCGGTACCGAGTCCTCAGCATTGATAGGGTAGTCTAACCTTGCCAAAGTTGAGTTCCTCATATGGGTCACAGAGGCCGGTGAATTCTCTTGGGCTACCATACAGGTTGATATAGCAAGGCCCAAAAGTTGGGAGGAAACCAACGTGTGATGCTGTAGTGATCACTGTAACAGAGACACACTCTGTTTAAAAACCCACCTGAACAGTTCCAAGGCTTATAAAACAATAAAGCATGAGGATAGAAATACAAACAAAGGCATGGAGTAAAACACTCATTATTTCAAAATAAATCCACCTATCTATTATGTAGTTTGTAGTTTTATGAACATCACGTCAAACTTAAGCTACAAAGTTTCATTTTTGTAAAAACATTTTAAAAAAATGATAAAACATGCAGATGACCATTTCTTACGTACATTCAGATGCTGTGTTGTGACTTTCAGCTCCTCTGTCTGCTTCCGATGCCAAAAAATACATGCAAATGTCATATTGCAATATCAAAATTTAAAACACTGAGAAACAACAATCATTAATAAATACAGATTATATGATTACCTTCAATCTCTCCCCCAGAGAAAGAAATTTTGCTCAGATTCAAAAATGTTGTTCCTATGGCGTCATCCTTGGTTAGACGATCCCTGCAAGGTGCACGTTTGCATGTCAAATATTAATTGTGATATTTTTATTCATGCAGTTGTGTGTGAATGACTTTCAGCTCTTACCAGTCATACATAGTCAGCTTGATGCACTCACACATGGACGGGAACTACACCGGCAGAGATACAGTATGTGTTCATTTGTGTTTTTGAAATTTGAATCAAGCTCATAAGATACCTCTGAAAATGCCTCTTTTGTACCTTGACTTGGAGATGAATGAGTTGATTCCACTCTGGATTAGCGTTTTTCTCAATTATTTTGGTGCAAAGCTAAAAACAAAGAAAATATGATTGCAAAACAGCAATATTCACAGAAAGAATATTAAAAAAAAAGTTTTTTCTCCATTTTACTTAAACATAAACTACCTTCTTCCCAGCAAAGTTGACTTCCAAATATGGATCCACCAAGTTTTTCTTTTCTTCATTCCCTCCAAAGACATGTTTTAATGTCTGAACAAAAGCATCATCCACTGCAACATAAACAGAGGTTTGTTGAAGCGATACAACTGCATTAAGTTACAAGGGGTGTAGGAATTTATTAACTTATTGGTCACTTACTCTGTGGCATATCCTCAGCACGGTAGACTTTAAGGATCAGAGTGGCCCATCGCATTGTGACACCAGCTGGCACCAAAAGATTGCTTTCTATGTCATCCTGCTCCTCACTTATCTCTTTCCTCTCAGTCTACACTCAGGAGAAGAGAGTGTGTCATGCTCTTTTTCAATACTGTTTCGTTCTCTGTCACTTGTAGAGAAGAAATTTACAGTGAGTAAGAAAGTATTCTCACCGGCGGGTCATCTCCGGTGCCCAAAACAAATACACTGACTTTCAGGTAACCTCTGGCCCCTAAGCTGGAGTCATCAGGATCACTCAGGAGGAGCCACTTCCTCATTATGGCATGACCTGGGCATAGTATAACATTTAATCCACAGTAACATAGCACAGTATATACAAGCCAATCAAAATTTGCATTTTACATAGAAAAACTAACCTGGTTCATCATAGATGTAGCCAACATCCAGCTGAGTAAAGCAAAAAAAAAAGGTTATTGGAAATTTTGAACTTGGTCAAATGGTGGTGATAAAACCACAATTCTGCTACGCTGAGCAACTGGTTGTGTGGGATAAATCACTACAAGTCAAGATCCTGGGCTTAAAAGCTTCCATTGACATACCTTGAACTCTCCTATTAGACTGTCAGCTCTGAGGGAGAAGGAGTCATAAACCTGTCAAGGACAGTATACAGCTTTAGCAAACGCTGAAACTCCCTGATTTTAAAAGCACTTTTGCCAATAAACAAATAAATAGATAAATAAATAAACTTAATGAAAGGAGTTATCTACGCACCCGAAAACTAATGCTCTCATCAAACAGTTCTGAGGGAAGCATTTTAACATTGTAGAAAAACATCTGAGGGATGGAAAAGATCATAAATGGGTGAGTTTCTCTTGACACTGTATGCACATTTTGATGTCAGACACACTTTGTTATCAATAATTGAGACAAGCATTATAGGACTTACAATTCATTAAGCTGAGATGCTTATGCTTTGGCAAAAACTGAGAGAAGGTAAAATGTTTATGAGAAGAATGAGAATGAGAGAAGAATGAGAGGAGAAAGTTGAGGACTTTCAAGCTCCAATACCATATCACTGCTGCAAGAGAGAAAGGAGAGAAATACCTCAGGAGGTTATTGAATATAGAGGGAATTAAGTGGCACAGAAAGATGACAAGCAGATGCTAAAACAGACAAGAGAGATAAAGGGAAAAATTATGTGATTTCCTGAACTTGTTATTTTGTGTGGTTGCAGACTCTTTACCTCATCAAAGAATGGGTTATTTCCTCTTCTTATTCTAGTCCTGTGGGTCTGTTCACACGCATTCACCTTAACCACCGGCTTGATGTTGTTGCCAGGCAACTGCCTGCCCTCTATAACTCGAACGCGAATCTAAATATTGCAAGCAACAGTGAGGCAGCTGAACAAACAGTGAAACAATTTAGCTGTGTCCTTTTGGAAACGGTACCATTAGCTCATTTGGATTCACACATACTAACCTATTCAGTGCAGACACACAGCTCTGTACAGGTACAGAAATTTTGAAAATAAGATCATGTGGGAAATTATGTTTTCCTGTCGCAAAACCACAAGCATGCTCATATTTTTGCACTTCTCTGTCATGTGAGATAAATGTTGTAAGTCACTAGTGACGGACTGAGCCTTTGATGTAGCTGTACACTGGTGAAGCCTGCTGTCACTCATGAGATTAATAATAAGATTTCCCTCCTAAATTGGTGCATTTGTGTATTTGTGATGATCCAGGAACAAAGTAATCAAAACACAAACAATACCTGGAAGTCCTGAAGCTTATTGGCCAGGGCTTTGTTCCTCTTACGGCCAAAGCGCATGGGCTTGTGGCTGGGTTTCCCAGGCTCGTTTGGTAAGGATGGAGCTCCTGGGCTCCCACCTTGAACTCCTCCATCCACGTCTGCCTCCCCCTCATCAGCCTCCTCACCGCCTCCTGTCATAATAATCACAAACATTCTTTGAAACAATTACTGATAGTGTTTGTTTCAGTGTGAGAAAACGCTATACTCCTGATAACGAAGAGTGCACAGAGAATGCATCTATAGAACTATGTTTGATTCTATTAAGTTGCACCTCAAAACTTATAAAAAATTCATGGTAATAGTAAAACATTTCTATGCGGCTAGCAAATGTATTACATGTATTGCACTTTGCTAGAAAATAGTAATCCCTTTTTTGTATGAGATTCAATGTTGCCATACAGAAAGAAAGATACTGTAAAAGAAAGCGATGTTATGTTTTGCTAAAAAAAAAACAAAAAACTCTGACCCAACCATCTCTTTCCATTTCTTAGGTTAGCTGTCTACTTACCAGCATCCACATGAGATGTGTCTCCATCAGGTTGTGCATTTAGGTTTGGGGTGGTGCTGGCAGGCGGCTCATACCCAATGAGCAAATTAATGGTTGCCTGAAAAAAGTATGTTTACTGGATTAACATCATCAGCCCTACTGTATACAGTATGTGTGATACCAAATGACATGTCATAAGACTCAACAATTTCAACTACTTCCTGCAGACCTACAGATCCAAGGCATCAGCTACTGCCAGAGCTGAAACTGACATTCTGTATCACAAAATAGCAAGTGTTGTGTGCAAGTGCATGAAATCTGTTTAGGATCACATTATTAACTAAACCTATTCACCCCAATAGCCTGTTGTTTCTCACTGATCAAGGGAACGTTTCTGGAGGGGAGGGACTTCACTTGACCACCGGCCAAGTCTCTCAGACTGATTTTTGCAGAGCCAATGAACCTGAAACGCAATGACATAAATGTTCTTTGGTCAGGCAGTCAAACATAATATACAAGAGCAAATGAATCATCACAGCTGGAGCAAAAACAATCACCTTTGTTTGAAAGGGCACCATGGATGAATGGCTAAAATAAACACTTGGGTGGTAGTTCTACAATATATGACAAATCTATGCGATTACAACATGAAGGAAATGAATGTAATGATTGTGAATTTAATTACTGGTAACTGTGGATAGCTGATGGTTTCTACTTCCCAATTTCACTTCTTTATTTATTATGAGAAACCAAGCAACACCTACATTGTTACTTTCATACCAAACAGAAGTCATGGAACAATAGTGATTAATAACCACACCTGATTGCAACACTTTAGACATTTTATAAAATCATCCCAAACCAACCAAATTTTGCAATTTAAATTCACAGATGGCTTGGTTACAGATCAGTAACACGGGACCAAATACTTTTTGAACATTAATAAATATCTTAAAAAACACACACATTATCCTAGTGACAAAATTTAGTTTGACTCACTTCAGGAGCAGTAGTAAAATATCTCAAAAGAACAAATGGTATTATTTTCCTCAAGGATCCCACCCACGCCCAGCACGGACTGTTCACCTCCCTACCCTCTGGCCAGAGGTTCAGAAGTGTGAAATGCAGGACCTCCAGACTGAAGAACGCTTTCTTTCCCTCTGCCATCAGACTCCTAAACAGCTGAGGAGTTTATTACCAGGAAATACGTCATTGTACTGTCGACCTGTACTGTTTACATTCTCAGTTTGCACATGCATAATTGCACATTGACTGTTGACTACTGCCCATGCTGCTCCCATGCAGCATACATTCTCTTATTATATTCTTATATATTTTTATTATATTGCTGTATTTGCTGCTTAAAGTGCCTTAGATTTTATGTTGCTTATTTATCTACTTTATATTTCATTTGTATTTTGTGGCATTCATGTGGACGGCAAAGTAAGAATTTCATTGTACAGGGAAACACGTTTCCTAACTGTGCATATGACAAATAAACATTTTGACTTTGACTTATTTGCTCTGTGACAAAGACCAGCTCGTCACGCAGGCAAAAACTGCACAAAGAAAACTACCGGAATCACTTACAGTAACACAAACCACAGGAATGTGTTGGGCACCTTATACACAGTTCATTAGTGGACAAACATAGAGCCAAGGAGGCGGGTAAAAGGGCAGTCTTAACTAAGCAACATGAGAACAGACACAAGCATATTCATGAATGTGCTCAGGCTTGCTTTGTCTTCTCTCTTGCTCTCAGCAGCTGGGGAAATATTTATCATTTCAAAAAGCTTAAAGAGCTTGGTTTGCCCTTGAAAACAGGGTTCAGCTGTGGAGGATAAGAATAGAGGACATCCGGTATTGCAGTTAACTATTCCTACCACTGCATAGACCACATGCAAGGACTGGTTCTTAAAAATGGTGAACTCTAGTCTTATGAATCTGGAACTGGTTTAATGAAGAAAAGGAAACTCCTACAGTAAAAGAGCCAGTTTTCCTTGTGATATACTTTATTATCTGTTACATACATATTCCTTTTAAATGAAACTCATTTTGGAGCACAAAAAATATTATTGTCAAACAAAATGAGGAAGCATTTTTGCCAGTTAAACAGCAAGAGACTGCTTATTGTACCACAGATTAGATACCCCTGTTAGATTACATTGCTTTCTAAATTTTCCTAGAACTAGTCACAAAGTCCTGCCTGCAGTTCCAAGTGAACATTTTCCTTCCAGAGTTTGCTTGGAGCTGTGTATCAAGATTAAACCGTTACAGGCAGAGCTACTCAGAGTCACCACAGATGTGCCAGTGACAAGCCAGCGCAGGCACCACCTCTCATCCACTGCAGATAGTCATCATGGAAAAATATCTAAGTGCATGCGTGGCTGAGGAAGACACCCCTCCTCCCCTTCACTCTTGTGCCTGGTTCAAAATAATTTACAGTGCACACAGCCAGTCACAAAAGAAACTAAAAGGAAATATTATTGCTTTGTCTACCTTTTTGCCTGCACTGCTCTTGGAGAAGGACAAACTGACCAACACTCACAATGATACAAAATGTATGTACTGTATGTACCTAATATACTCGTGACTAATTATAGTATACCGTAGGGAAGGTTAAAAAGAAAAGTTTTTTCCTTTTAAGGCAACATTCCTCCTATAAGAGCTGAGGGAATCAAAGCATCTACTTTACTGACACTGCAAGTCTTAACATGGTCCCAGTGAGCACTGTGTTTAAACAGCTCAGTGATGTTAGAACATGCTACTCCACTCATTAGGACAACACAAATATTTCCAAATACACTGTAAATAAGTCATATAATACTTTTAATATTGGTAGTGGAGGTATAATTGCTAAGAAACAAGCACTTTTACAGATTATAACTATATGTCTACCTTATCAAAATGTAAATATCTGAGGTACAGTGAGGGTTTCATTTTCAGCCACTGTCTGAACTACATGGCATAACATGGTGTCTATAATGACAGCCTGCACATATTTCACACAGCAGCCTTTCTCCATAAAATCAGGAGTATGGTTAAATGAGCAATACGTTTTCAGACTTCAAGCTGGGCCAAGGATCATATATTCATTCAGTCCAAAACAACAACAACAAAAATGTCATGAGCATGCTTGTATATGTGGCTTAGGACAGCACAGATTTGTATTACACTTTTGCAGAGCACATGATGATAAGTAAAACTATTATAATGCGACACGTGTCATAATTTCTCTTTCTGATGCTTACACCTACTTGTGTTTCCCGATTGTTTCATAGTCTTTCACCACCACATCGATATACGAGGATGCATCCAAAGGAGAGCCTTTCAGATCAAATTGAAGCACCTGTAATTAGGAAGACACCATTACATTCAGCCACTAATACAGTAGTTCTGATTCTGGTAACAGTGTAATTATTTCCCCCAAAACAAATTCCGTAGCCTACTGTAACAACCAGTTAACTTTAATTCCCCCCTTACTTCATTCCAAACAGGATTCAATTCATTGTCAATTGCTTTGGTTTTCTTCTTTTCACCTGCAATCACAAACGTGAACCATATTTATTACGAAATGCAAAAAAAGGGCAAACAAGCCTAATAGAGAGTGGTATTTCTCACCTCGAAAGAGAATCGTAGTTATTGGATCGGGGTTTCCAATTTTCTTTTTGGGGATCCCACTAGCGGACTCAACAATGACCCGAAGCATTTTAATAAAGTTATCCAGAGGAACGCGTCATATTCGGCAGAGAGAAAAGCAGCTCTCACAGGGGTTGGTGAAAGGCTCAGATGAGGAGAGACCAGCGGACACAGGAGGGCAGCCTCATTCATGAGTCAGAGGCATGAACCACACCAGCCTGCCTGTGTGAGGTGTATTAGCAGGCGAGGAAGACACACATGTAGAGGACAGACTAACATTCTCATTACCTAGTTTCATATTTATAACTCGATTTTGCTTGACATTATTATTCAGAACAGTGGATTGATTGATCCACAATGTAAACACAGGAGGAGAGGGGCCGAGCTCCGGCGCCCCCCAGCCGCTGGGGGGGGGGGGATTTTGAATGATGGTATATACATTGTGGCATGTACAAATTACAGACCTGTTTTGTGACAAGTCAGCATCGAGCCGAGTCTTTTACACTGTTCTTTTATTTTGTGTTTTCATTGTGTATTAAGATAGTATTTACCAAGGTAGACATGTTAACGTTGTGTGCTGTACTTTGATGCAGATTTATAAATACGGTGGCGTGTTTGTGTTTACATTGTGAGAGCAACATGATCATTGTTGTTTACTGATGCTGCCAGGTACATGGCTAATAATACTGGGTCTGTCTATAACTAATAAACGTTATAATAATGAGTGATCTCCTGCAGAAGTTTGCGTCAATCGCACATGTTGTGCTAGGGTGACGTGCAGCCAAGGAGTGATAGCCACTGCTGCTTTGCGTATGTAACGTTTTGCTTCGCTTTGCTTTGCTTAGCTTGGTTTTGTCTGCTTTTATGTTAAGAAGTTTACCTAGCATTATATTTCCTATTTATTGTATTGTTCCAAAGTAGGGTTTAGTCAATTTTATGGTGTGTGAACAGTATGTGAATGGCTCTTATATTTGGTTTGTTGATTTGTGATTAATTGACTTGTGGTGTTTATTTAATGGTGCGTTTCCAACCTGTTGACTCTAAACATTTTATTCCGATTTGTGCAGATTCTCAGTCATCCAGGTCATAGTAAGCTGAAAAAACAGAAAAAATCAACTGGACTAGATTTCTAGGTCGAAGACGTTTCACCTCTCATCCAAGAGGCTTCATCAGTTCTGACTGACTGGTGTTGAGCTGGAGATATTTATCCCCCTCAGTGGTGTTTCAGTCCTTTGAAGGCCAACAATGTCCCTTAATGACAGAGTTGTTATAGGCCAGTATCCTGTTCTGCACTCTATTGAGTGGGGAGTAACTTCTTTTCAAAGGTAGTAGTTTAGCTTCTGGGGTTAGGCCTTTTTAAACATTTTCACTGTTAATTTATACATTGACTTGAATAAATTTCCATTCTTGTGGGCAAACCCAAAGTCTGTGTGTTTGCAGACTTATCTGTGTGTGGTAACCAGTACTTGTGAAGTTTGTATGAATTTGACCTCTGGAAACAGGGGGGGTGATACTCTTGGAGAACTACTAAAACTTATTAGTGTCTGGGTTATAAGCTCGTATATTGGCCCGGTCACAATTTCTTTGAGACAGAAGTTCTCAAGTAAAATAAGTAACAGTGGCCATCTTGGTTACTACGGTGGCTGGATGGCTACGGCCGTGGCTACGATGGCTGCTGGATACTGTTGCATAACCAAACTGCTCATCGCAGTGTGTTGCTCCTGTTCGATGATCAAATCAAATCAAATCAAATTTCATTTGTATAGCGCCAAATCACAACAAAAGTCATCTCAGGACACTTTACAAAGTAAGCTCTAGACCTTACTGTTATCAATATTATTACATAGGGAAAACCCAACAAATCCCCCTTGAGCAAGCACTTGGCGACAGTGGGGAGGAAAAACTCCCTTTAACGGAAGAAACCTCCGACAGACCCCGGCTCTTGGTGGGCGGCCTTCTGCCTCGACCGGTTGGGGTGAGTGGATAGAGGAGAGACAAAAGAAGAAAAGCAACAAGACACAACAATCAAACACTGATCAGGTCGATGTGGCTGGTGACTGCTCGTCAGAGATGTAGAGCTCCAGGGCCAGGGCAACCTGCAGAAAGGTGCAGGGAGAGAGAGAGGACACACTACGGGAGAGAGGAGACACAAAGTTAGTAATGTGTAATGGAGGCATATAGAAGCATAGGGAGAGAGAGGAGAGGAGAGCAG